AATATAATACTTAGCAATAAATTTGAGAAAGATGTTAGACCTTTAGAAAGAAATCATTAACATATTAAAAACATTTAAGATGAAATAAATGGAGAGAAACTTTCTGAATCATGAGAATATTGGCAAATTGGCTATAATTTATAGGCTTCTGGGTTTGCTTCTGACTTTCAAGATTCCTAGTGATTTATTTTATAGTGATTCTACAGTGAGGGGAAGTCTCACCCCTACACCCCTACTATGTATCAGAAATCTTTTAAAGCAACAGTCTAAAACAGTGGAGTGATGCAGGGATGATAGGTAACTCAGGTATTACAAGAGACCTCTCTGCCCCCTAGAGATTTAAATATAAACTTTCCTTGACCCTGGCTTCCTGGTCAGTGAGAGTTAAGAGAAATGCCCTTCATCCGTGACTTACTCAAATTTCTGGGCCTGATCAATGCACCTCATGTCTCTTGCTTCTGCTTGGTATGCCACCCTGGTTTCTGCCAGCATCAATACAGTTGTGAAATCAACCCCTTTAACTGTTTCAGACATCTAGCAGCTTGTGAGTTTAGAAACTCTTGAGTAGGTGACAGAACCAACAGATTGTTTTTCTTAGTCTTTGAGCAAAACATTACTGTCCATAACCATGCCCTCCTAACTTAGACACTTTCCTAAATTAATTCAGTTGCTTTCTTAACAGGAATTCTGAAGATTAAGCCTTTCTTTCATTTTGTAAAACATGCATCACTGGAGCATTATTAGGAATCCACAATCAGTTCCATCTACATATAACAACTGAATATATGATAAAATATTCTTTCCTATTGGAGAAGCCACTTAAAGGATATTCACTCAATGGTATTAGATAGTAGTCTTCAGTGGTATAGCTGCAAAACTGATTAGACCAAAAAAAAGAAAAAAATGTTTTCATCCATACTTTATACAGCCATTGGAATTAAAAAGCATAGAAAATACCTTTACATTTCTTATTTGATGCATTAGTGGAACTCACCAAGGTGCAAAGATATACTGGAATATCTAAAAAAATTGTAGGAAATCTCTACATCAAAAGTTATAAGGAAAATGACAATAGTTTTAACAATTTTATATTATTGCAGAATGTGCTAATTTAGACATCAAGATCCTAATATGTAAATGAGAAAAATATGCCAAGTTAAGAATATGAAAATAAATATGAATAATAAATGCAAGGAAAAATATCTACCCATATGCTTATCACTAAGTCACAAGTTAAAATGACTTTGCACGGTTTTTACTTTGTATTAAAGGAGCTAAAATTTTTAAAAAGAAATCTAATATTGGCAACATAAACAGTGATACCAGAGTCTTTTAGAAAATAATGCCAGGAGTATATGCTGAGAATCACAGCAATGTTCAGATTATTTCACTCAGTAGGAATTTAGGAAATAAATATTGTGCTAATTATAAATCATAGATATAGAGAAAAATGCTTTTAGGGACTAATTATAGAACATCAATGTAAAGTATCATGTTACCTTTAAGTAACTATTTTTGAAGACTCTAGAACAACTGTCCAATAGAACTTTCTGTGCTGATGAGAAGTTGTATAATTTGCACTGTCCAATACGGTATCCATTAGCCACATGTAGCCACCGAGCACTTGAAATGTGACTAGGGCAACTGAGGAACTGAAATTTAAATTTTATTTAATATTAATTATGCTTAAATACTCACATAGGTTTAGTGGCCATGGTATTGGACAGTGAAGCTTTAGAAATATGGAGAAATGTTAGGTGAAAATAGTAAGTTTATGTGATGTAATTACAAATAGGTAAATACCTGTATGTACATAAAGAAAGTGATATTTACAATTAAAATATTTATGTTAGGATTGAAGGAAATGGGTGATTTTTTTTTAAACGCTGATTAAAAGATCAGGTGAAAATAATAAAGCATTCCAGCACTGTGCTACTCAATATGGTAGCCACTAGCCTGATGTGGCAATTTTAATTTAAATTAAGTAAAATTAAGAAGCCAGTTCTTCAGTCACACTAGCCACATTTCAAGTGTTTGATAGCACACATGGCTAACGTTTACCACTTAGAGGAGATACAGAACATTTCTAGCATTGCAGAAAATTCTGTCCTATCGTTCTACAGAACTGATAAAAGGAACGTACCGGAACAAGTCATTGATTATTTATTAGTAATTTCCGTGGGCATAGATGAATTAAAACTGCTATCACTTTTTTTTCTTTTCAAAATTTTATTTAAATATAGTAAATATATAGTCTAATATTGGTTCCAGGAGTAGAATTTAGTGATTTACCACCTAATAGCACCCAGTGCTCATCATCATAAGTGCCCTCCTTAATGCCCATCACCCATTTAGCCCATTCCCCCACACCTGCCTCCTTCAGTCCTCAGTTTGTTCTCTAATTTTACTAGTCTGTATGGTTTGCTTCCCTCTCTCTTTTTTTTCCCCTTCCCATTTGTTCATCTGTTTTGTTTCTTAAATTCCACATACGAATGAAGACCGTACACCCGTAACTTTGATCAGTATTCGGTAAAGTATGGACTGAAAACCAGTCCTGATTATACCAGTCCATGATTAAATGCTTACTCTCAATTGTGTACTTGTTTAGAAACTTTTATAGCAATAATGTGATAGTTCTCTGTGATCCAAGAACATCACCTGTCTTAATCTCATTGAATGTAGATTGATCTGGTTATCAGTGAAGCTGCCTGTAGAGTTCTGTGTAGTAAGATCCGAGTATTAGTTGTGAGCAGTAATCTATGGGCATGGGTCCACCCACAATGAGAATTAAAACAGTTCTTTACTACAGGCAGTCTGAGAAACATTGGTAAAGATGAAGCAGAGAAGGTGGGTTGCTCAGGGGAGTTTTGTAAAGAGCTTAAATTGGTTGTTAGTATAGTTTAATATACACTTGCAAGTGAGATTAAAAATTGAACACTACATCTCTGATTGTGATAAGCTTAGACTTCATCCTTCGTGCTAGTAGAAATAAGGCAAGTGATTCATTCTTCAACAGTGTAAATAAGGATTTTAAAGGAGTTCCTCCTAGTCAGTGCCTCTATTTGGGGAACTTGTTTCCTGTTTTCCTCCTGGGGGTGGTGGGGATTCAACCAGCTAGCACAATCTTTGCCTTTTGGCAAAATTTCCAACTTCATATTTTCCTTTACCCCTTCTAAACTCCTTTTGGCATATTGTTATGCTTAGTTCTTTGTAACTTTTTTCATCTCTTTCCCACAAAGTTAGTTTCAAAGGCTTACAAAATGTCCAAAACGAGAAAATTGTTTTAAACTAAGTGAACTTCTAAAGTTTTGTTTTAAAATTTCCTTTTTTCACACTTAAGCTTGATTGATTCCCTGACATAAGATATTAAACTGAATTATTTGTGAAATGTGGAAAGCTTTTTATTACTATAATTAAGGCATAATCTGTCAGCTAAAGCATTGTTTTAATGATACAGGGTAAGCATAATCCTGGATTTACTACCTGATTTCTTATTGTGGTTTTGGTTGTACACTAAATGGCTGCCTATTCCCTGAAATGAAGTGCCCCATATGGGCTGTCCAGTTTGTTTTGAGGACCAGTTCTACATTTGTAGAATTTGGGGTCAAATGGAATCAAGTACTCTGTGATAGTTGTTCGCCTGATTCCTAGTGACCTTGCATTTTGGAATAAAACACATATGCATACTCAGTCCTTCATCGATACAATTGATTAATCTATTACTGATTTTAGCATTTCTTCCTTTTCTTCCTAATTTATCAGTTTGGAAAGAGCTAGAAAACACTTGAAGGAAATCAATCTCTGTTTTTAATAACAGTCTATAAGTTACAGAAAAAGAAAGTGTTCAGCATTTCTTGTTTAAATTTTGAGTTTTCTGAGACATATTTACTTAAAATATATATGACTATCATACTGAAAGAGTGGCATCTTCTGATTTCATTTTAATATTATGATAATGATTTGCTTTACTTAGGCACAATTATAGATATAGATAACCATATTATCGCTTGGGTTATCTTCAAAAGATTAAATAAATACATTAAGAAATATATTAATAATATATATTAATATTATTATTCCGTTTGATATTTGGCAATATATTTTTAAGGTACAGTGTGCGATTTCCTGATCTGAACAAAATATTCCATTTCTTTTTAGGAGTTTGGGTTATAGTAATCAATTTACAGCATTTTCTCCTAAATGTATTAAGGTGCAACATTTTAAAAACATTATGTTCTTAAGTTATTTGATATGTAATTAGGGGTTTATGTTGCTAATATTATTTTTATATAACACATTTCTGATTCTTCAGAATAGTTGTAGGCTTCTAATTGTTTTATGCAAGTTTCAACCTTGAGAATGTTGACTAATTGGTTAATATTCTTTCTATTCAAAATTTTTTAGCGCTTATTATGTTTTAGGAACTATTTAATAAGGTTCTTCAAATAATCAGTGTTTTTAAAAAAAAGCCAAACCCTTTTCCTCTGGGAGCTTACATTCTCGTAGATTGCTTCATATATGATTCTGTGGCATTTAATACCAAGGGCTAGTTTTCTGTTGTCAGGAAATGCATTATGTCATTATTAGGTAATATAGAGGTATAGAAGAAGGGTAAAATTCCTTCTAGTTTAATGAGTCTGATTCATTGTTCTTCAGTGAATTTAGTTTTATTTATTTTAATGGAACTTATAGAACTATGATCATTTGGCAGCCCAGAATTTTTCTGTATTTTTCTCAACTTCCCAACTGGTAGTTCAGTACTGGGGTAGAAATTAAAGTACCCACTTAAGGTTTTGGGTTTATGGAGTGATGTTTGAAGCATGAAATATTCTTTAGAGAAGATACTCCTTTTTTTTGAAAGAAGGGAATGTGGTTTTGGAATACTCATGATTTTATCTCATTTATTTTTTTCAGAATCTCAATTTTGTAGCACAGGTAGATAAACTTGAACCAAATGGTATGATCTCAGTATAATATTTTACTCTTCTCTCCTCCTTCAGGAAAATCTTTAACTTCCACCACAAGAAGATTAAAAAGAGGTCCCTCCTGCACCAAGAAAGATCTGCAGATCTTTTTCAGTGTTCTTGGAGGTGTGGGGTGTGAGAACTTGATCAGTTTGTGCAACCACCTTGTTCTCTAAAGGTAAGCACTGTGTAGTGAGTGCACACTCATGGGCCCACGCTCCTAATGCAGGTCTGGTTTTGGAATGCTCCATTGAGGGTATGAGGCCATCAGACTGCCTCGTAGAAGGATGGCCTAGGCAGCCACTTGTGGGCAAGACGTCACACACATCCATCAAGAGATGGTTTTCCTTGGTTAGAAGTAAAGCATGTCCTAGAGATGTATGGGTGTATTTTTTGTTTATTTTTTTTAAAAAATCCCAATTACAGTAAAATTTGTGTCCAGTTCAGCCTGCATTTAAATCAGTTTAATAACTGCTGTGGTTGATCCCTCATCAAGAACTCTTCTTGGTTATCTTGAGATTTACATTTAAGAATTTTGAAGCAATGATAGCCTTTAAGCATTCTGGTGACTTAATAGATTAAATTGATAAAACCTGCCCTGAAGAGTTGCTTTTTCATGATCTTTTTGAAACGATCTCTTAACCTTTACTTCAGAGAAGGTCCTTTAATTTAAAAATTAAAATACAATTTTTAAATCTGTATTAAGCTTCAGAAAATATGGAAGCAAAGATCTTCTTAATCTTTAATAAGCATATGAACATAAAATTGCTGATCCTAATTGAAAAAAAAATTACTTTTAAAATCAGCAGCTTTCTTCCTAGCTTGCACCTTTTTCCTGTCTTTAGGAAATGAAGGCATATACATTGGTTCCATGAGGGAAACCTCACAAAGGATAAATAAATTAATGTCTCACCTTTACTTCTAAACTCTAATACCAGAAAACTTTATTGGTCTATTGTACAATGTATTGATGCCTCTCAGAAAGACCAGTCCTAAATAAAATTGTCATTTGAATACCATGCATTGACTATGAAGGAGAACCAGAGAATGTCTATCTTCAAAATGTCAAGATTAAAGTAGGTTAATATTAAATAATAATTTTGGCTGTCACCAAGAGACTAAACGTCTAGCAAAACATTTCAGATTACAGTCACTGGATACTATGGTATCGACAGTGAGGATTTAAAGTGCTGGTGAAGACATTAATTGGTCCATATCTAGTTTTATTCATTATTTTTTCCTTAAAGCTTTTAAAGTGATCTTGGAAGCCTTAGTTCTGAAAGATATGTACTATTCATGAAGCACTTAAGTTTGGGAAAAATCTGCTGATTTTTGTCTGGCAGCCTTCTCTTTGGTTTATGATAAATTTTATCGCCTTTTCAAAATACTTGTTCTTCCTATATATGAATAATAAAAGATATTAAGGAGGGAAACAACCTTTGTTTTTGCTGTTAGAATGGGGGAAAAAATGCAACAGAGACCTTTTTTGAAAAAGACTTGAGATCCAGTTTACTGTTTTATATGAAAATAGTTGAGGAATTAGAATTAGTCTTGCTTATTGTAACTATAGGCAACTTTAAAAGATTTAAATCTTCAAAGTAGATATGGGTTTTATAGTGAAGAAATATATATTACTATTTGGAGATAATCTCTCTATATAATTTTTTTTGAATTTTTATTTGTGAGAGCATGTTAAATATTTTTAACCTTTAAAATAGCACAGAACAGAATAGACAAATGCATTAAGTCTGAGACAGTTGAGAAAAAAATTTGAATTAAAAGTCAAACAAACTGAAAATATAAGGTGGGATACAAGAATAAATAAACAGGTTACTATTTGTTACCTAAAATAAAACTTTATTAGAACTAAAAATTTTTAATCTAAAAAGCACCCCCTTCTTTTTAAAAGTGAGCTTTGTCTTAAACAATAGTACTGGCAATATATTTGTAAAAAGAAAAATTTATTTCAACATGTTAGAATTGGTGTTCAAATTTCAAACCAGTTATGTAGCAGGAATATATAAAATTGGGACCAATGAGGAACTTGTCTTCTGTATCTAAAGAATGAAAAATAGGATCTTTTCCTAACAACTCTTATTAATATCACCTCAATTCATATTAGGCAACAAAATAAACTGTTGTTCTTTGATTTTGATGATATATAGGAGTGAAAACCCAACCCAACATTATTGACACTAAGGAATTCTTCTACTGGAATTGGAACTAGAATTTGGGAGATTTTATTTGTATGTATACATACATATACTTACTCTTATACATACACACTAGTGTTTATTTCTCCTTTTGAATTCTGTAAGAATGATTTGTCAAGATAAGATTTCTGATTTGTCTTTCACTAGTATTTTGATGCCATGTTTTTGTTTGTTTTTAATTAAAGAGTAGTCCCTACTAGAAATTTGGTTTCTTTGGTATGATCATGCTCCCTGTCTAACAGCTAAAGGGAGGTGAGAGAGCCCTCCTTACCAATATTGATTTTCTAGACCAGCACTGTTCAATAAAAATATAAGCCACAAATACAAACTACATGTATAATTCTAAGGGTTTTTTGTAGTCGCATTAAAAAAGTAAAAAGAAACAGGCAAAATTAATTTTAATCACATTTAATTTAACCTAATATATCTAAAATATTCCTTCAACATGTCATCAGTATAAAAATTTGAGGTGTTTTACTTTTATTCAATTAAGTATTCAAAATCTGATGTGTATTTTACACTTACAGAAATTTTGTGTTGAACTAGGCACATTTCAAGTCCTCAATAGCCACATGTAGCTAGTAGCTACTGTATGAGGCAGTGCGGATCTACACCAAGAATGGATCTTCCGTTTTAGCATCATCCATGATGAATTCCATTGGGTAACTCCGAAAGCTCCCCTGGTTTAGAGTTTCCGGATTTAACAGAAGACCAAAAAAAAAAAAAAAAAAAAAAAAAAAAAAAAAATCAAAAACAAAACAAGGTGCCTAGTTTAATTTAAATTTCAGGTAAATAACAAATAATTGTTTAGTGTAATTGTGACCCATGCTGTATTTTGGACATGCTTAGAAAAACATTGCTTATTTGAAACACAGATTTAACTGAGTGTCCCGTATTTTATCTGGCAATCCTACCCTGGTTTAACTGAATGGAAGACGTCATCAGGCTTCCTAGATACTTGTTGGACTAGAGGATAGAGAATCTCTTCCTCTGTGGAGAATTTTGATAACCCTCCAAAAATCAGTATGCAAACCAGAAACTATATATAGCCAATTCTTCCTCATTCTCTAAGATGTTTAAGACAGAAGATGGACTTGTATCACAGAGGCTCAATCATCATGTATTTAAATATTTTAAATCTAAATTATTACATTAAGTGTTAAGGTTTATAGTTACTTACTTGAGCTTCCAAAATAGAAACTATCTAAGAGCATATTACTAGTATCACATCTTATGAAAAACAGTTCGCCCTTGGTGACTGTCTCAGCAGTTTTCAGGGTCCTGGCTATTTCAAGTTATTTCCCTACTATTGGTAACCACTGCAGCTGTCACATTGTCTCAAGTTGGCAAGCACTGGCTCAAAATAGTAGGTTGCCAAGTGCCAGGATAAGTTTTACTTTACATTGCAAGTATTTAAGTACTTGTAATTCTGTGCTTTGGTGTTGATCATTAGACCGTGACCCAGTCAACATCCAGTCAGGTCTTAAACCATTATCTCTCATTCATACTAAGGTCTTTTACAGAGGAACAGCTTTCCATTCTTATTTTTTAACATTCAGTACCGTTTTGAAGCAAGTAACAACTTCTTTAGTAGTAAGTAGATCTTATCCCTCTTAACCTCTAGAAAGGAGACCATTTATAATTCGTGTTCTCTAAGGACAGTAATTACACCAGCTCCACACTCCCTCTCAGGGGAACACTTGCCTTCAGGAGGTGAATAACTTTAGGTGACAGGTCTGCTTCATTACCAGCCAGGCAGGTAAGATCCAACTGCCAGTGCGGTTTGGCAGTTTAACAGTTCAGTTTAAGCTATGGCGCATTCCAAATCCATTCATGCTTAGGAGAATGTACCCAAGAGTGTGGATATGTTTATAATTACTGCATTTCCTTCAGAGAACAAGAATTACAGGTAAGGCTTGGTGTTTTTTTGGTTTTGGTTTCTTTTTTTGCAGTGATCCAAAAATTATTTTTATGTAAGAAATTTAAGAATATGAAGGTATTACTCTTTCCTCAAAACAGTCACCAAAAAAAATCTCAAACATAGCCTATATTATATAACAGTTTTCTTCCTCACTCTAAGAAGGAATTGAACCTGGAAAGGAGGGGAGGTAGGAGGAGACAACTTATTGTCATTTGAAAGCTGTGAATATCACACATTGCATGTCTAGAAATATCCTAGGTTTATGTAAGAATCTTATTTTGCCTAACTCTTAGTGTCTAAGGTATGAATTATTTTGTCAAATTAACACCTACATCTATATATAGCTCAGGTGTTCAGCCTTTCTGAGCTAATATCTTTACCAGCAGTGAGTAAATTAATGAATTGTGTTTGGGTTTTCACTTTTATTCTAAAGACTGACTTCTTTTGTTTAAAGGCTTTAACCTCATTTCTGAAACCAAAATTTAAAGCTGCAAAATACCTTAAAATCTAACGCCTTTTTTACCCCATGATGGATGAGCTTTAGAGGGTCTGTGAATCCCCTGAAATTAACAATAAAATTTTGTACGTATGTGTTTTTTGCTGGGAAGAGTGTACATAATTTTCATCATAATCTCGAAGGGCTTTGCAACACTGATCGAGTCTAACATCATCACTTTACTGATAAACTGAATTTCAAAGGATGTGAATTATTTGCCTTCTCATTTGAAATTTAATACTTGTAAAAAACTAAAGTTCATTTCTAGAAAACACTGTATTTGTTTTTAGAAGGAAAAAGCTTTAACTTGAATTAAGTAAACTTGAGAATACCAGCCTAAATGAGAGCAGGTAATTTGCCACTAGTTTCTTGCATTCTACCCTTTGACTGGAATCTTTATCAGTTGTATAAAAGTGGCCTCTCAGTAAAGTATGTGATAAATTCTTGAAAGGGAAAGAAAAAGTGAATTATCTATTATAATTTGAGATCCTATTTTTTTCTCTTTTCAAATTATTTGTTCAAAGAGAGTGATAACTAAAACTCAAGAAAATAGGTGAATAATGTGATTTTGAGAGTATTAAAGCAGTTAATTGCTTTTATAAACATCACATTGAGCTTTGTTGGGACTCCTGGTCCTGAAGCCTAGTTAGATTCTACAATAGACTATATACTTCAAGTGGGTTTTCAGTGATAGAGTATTTTAAGTTCATTCTTTTTTATCGAAGATATTTTTATTAATATACTAGTACTTTAGAAGTAGTAAGTAAGCAAGTTCCAAATTAATGAAGGAAACCACTACTTGTTTCTCAAAATAAAGGAAATGCCATTTTTTTTACCTTTCTTTTTTTTCCTGATACTGGTCAGGAAAGTCTGCCTCATTCAAGATTTAATGAATTTATTTGAGAGATGATACACAGAAACCAGTTATTTCTCAAAAGGGGCAAAAAAGAGTAAGACAACTTAGGTCACTACCTACATTTTTAATTTAAATTTAATGATACTTGAAGATTCTAAAATGCATAATATATAAAGCTCACAATAGAAAATGGCACAAATTTCTGAAATAGACTACAATTTTATCTCCCCCCCACCCCCCTTTGAGCATTGTCACTCAAGGTGATAATCACTTACGCTCTTCTGCCTTTGTGGAAGGTAACTTTTTAAGTGAGCCAGATTTTATCCAGGAAGAACAGTTCATATATGCCACCCAGTAGGCCACCTATGTTGCTTTCTATGGGTAATTCTAACAAACAAAAGTTATATTTTTACTTTTCATTCATCAAATATTTTGTGTTTAAAATAGAAAAGCTTAAATTCTTCTTAGGAACATTTACAAATATTTAGAAATAGTTTCTTTTTTTTTTTTATTTGAGGTAGACTGATTTTAAATATTGCCTTTGCATTCAAAGAAATTGGAACAATTAATTGACCTATTCACACAATTCATTACATCAGTGGTGGAGCTTTGGTTTACACAGCATATTAAAAATAATCCAACATCTGGGTGCCTGTGTGGCTCAGTTAAGCGTCCAACTTCAGCTCAGGTCATGATATCAATGGTTCATGAGTTCAAGCCCTGTGTCGGGCTCTGTGCTGACAACTCAGAGCCTGGAGCCTGGTTCAGATTTTGTATCTCCCTCTTTCTCTGCCCTTCCCCTGTTCACACTCTGTCTCTTTTTCTCTCAAAAATACATAAACATTAAAAAAAATTTAATCAACATCTGAACATAGATCAGTAGAAATTATTAATGATCAATTTTATTAACATAGATTATTTATTTATTTATTTATTTATTTATTTATTTATTTATTTAAATATTTATAAAATAATAGCAGTTTCAAAGAAACCAGAACTGTTAAAAGTGACTTCTCTCTGTGTGCCTACATGCATGCTTATATCTTTCTGGGTATAAACAATTTAGCATTTAACTCTTTATTTTCAGTTCATATATCAAAAACTCTTAGCCGTTTCACTCTTTATACTGTAGTACGTAGACTTTGAAACTTTGCCGCAACTGCCCTCCATGTTCTTATGTAGGAAATAAATGTATTCAATCAGTCATCAAATATATAGAGAACTTGAGAATAGAATGGTAAATAAAACATTGTCTGTGCTCATAGTATCTACAGTTTACTAAAGATGTGTGATGGAGTGGTATAGAGGGAGGATAGAGGGGATTCTAACCTAATCCACGGCTCCCGAGAAGACTTCTTTGCCAAAATGAAATTTTAACTGAACCAGAGGCATTATTAGGAGTTAGTGAAAGAAAATGAGAAGGCAGAATAAGCATATGTGAAAGCCCTGAAAGAAAAAATAAACAAGACACACTGAAGACAAAAGACTTCTAGAGAGAGGGAGAGACGAGACTGTATAGAAAAGTATCTTTAGGGGCGCCTGGGTGGCGCAGTCGGTTAAGCGTCCGACTTCAGCCAGGTCACGATCTCGCGGTCCGTGAGTTTGAGCCCCGCGTCAGGCTCTGGGCTGATGGCTCGGAGCCTGGAGCCTGTTTCCGATTCTGTGTCTCCCTCTCTCTCTGCCCCTCCCCCGTTCATGCTCTGTGTCTCTCTGTCCCAAAAAATAAATAAACGTTGGAAAAAAATATTAAAAAAAAAAAAAAGTATCTTTAAAGATACTTGGCCTTTGGGCTTTAGCAAGAGCAGTGGGAAGACATTGAACATCATATTTTATTTTTTCTAAAACTTATTATGAAAGCCTGATAACACAGCTTTTCATGAGCATAAGTGTATAACCTATGTGACCATCACCCAGAAGAAGAAACAGAACATCATCAGCATCCCAGAAATTCCCTTTCATCTTTCCTTCCAGTCAGTCTTGCCTCCCACCCACCGAGGACACCTCTCACCTGACTTCTTTAACTGCATAGATGCTATCGCTTATATTGTACTTTATGTAAATGGGGACTCGAGTATATGCTCATTTCATATGAATGAAAGAAGGAAGACACAACATTCTGATTTTGAGAGTCACCCATATTGTTGATTATGGTTGCTGATCAGTCTCATGGCTGTATGTTGTATCATATGAATGTACCATGAGATTTGTTATATCTGCCCAGTGCAGGATAGAAAAATGTGAAGTCAGCAAGTTTCACAGTTAAGTCCGGGGGAAAGATAATGGGGTTTGAGCTAGTGTGGTGACAAGTGAGGATGAATAGAAGTGGGCATGTTAGAGATTTATGAGTTAGAATTTATAGGGCATGGTGATTAATTAGATGAGGGGATGAGGAATACAAAGGCACCAAGGATGACCCATAGGTTTCT